TTCTTTTTTCAAACATTTTACGATTGCGTTTTTTTTTTGTGAGGATTGTTTTTGTTTTTCCTTAATGGAAAAACATTTTTATTTTTTTAATAAATATTATAATGTTAGCATAACACAGGCCGAGTCCACAGTACAGAAGAATGTATGAGAAAGAAAAATCAAATTTCATTAGGAAATAAAGCTAGCCAATGATATTAGCTGCAATGTGGGAGGCTAGACAACTAGCAAAAAAAAAATTTCAAAAAAAAAATTATATGAATTTTTTCAATTTGTGCTTTTTCAAATTGAGTATATCATACACCTACCCCATTTTAAAAAAAAAAAAATTGAAATATTTTGTGATCTCACAAATGGAATGGTAAATTCATAATTCTTATCAAACATTTTTAAGCCATAATAAAGCACCCACATTTCTTTTTCTTTTAATATTCCATTTTTTTCTGAAAGAATTTTCAAAATAAGAAAAATGTTGAGTTTTCCTCCTTAACAGTATTGCAACAGATGAAGAAAATTTCTAAACAACGAAAAAAATGAAAATTATTACGATAATTTTCGCTTAAAAATATTTTTTTACTTCTTTTTTTATTTTTTTAAACTGTTATTGCTTTCTTCAACTTCTTTTTATGAGTTTCAAGGGCATATTATGAGATTTTCTGTAATGATTTTTATTGTATATTAAGATGAATTTCAAGAACTATAGAAATGTTTTTCATTTCCGTTTGTAAGAACTTATTGGAAATTTCAATCATCTGACATCATTCCAAACGATTTCATTATACATAGGTGTTCGAATGTGCTAATTAAAATTTTATACAGTGTACGCAGGATTCAGGTCATTGTGATTTGATGGAGATTTGAAATTGATGACCATTAGTTGAAAATTTCAAATTGATTTTTAAATACGGAAATATTGGTAAAAATAATTTTTTAAGCTAACCTTAACCTTTATACTATAAAAATTGTAAGAATTACATTCTTTTCTTGTAGTTAAGTATTAAACTTTTTCAACAATTTTATTTCCTGAATTTGAGTAGCGTTTATGGAATTAAGAGATTTCATTACTGAATTCTTGAAAAAATTTAAAGTTGGCAATAAATTTATTAGTGTTGATAACAATTTGAGAGTCAAGATTATCGAACCCAATAATGTGATTTGATTGAAATTCTTCCTAAAAATTTTATTAATAGATTCTCGATTTTGAGTTACTAGCCACATATTAGATTCTTTTTCTTCAAATTTCTGCCAAGTTGTTCATATGACAGTTTCCATTACGTTTGTTACATATTTCTTGAACAATTTTGAATTTTTATAACTCATAGTAAGCTAATAATGTTAAAATTTTGAAACTTAGAACTTTGTGTTTTATTTTTTATTTATGTATAATATGTATTGAAGTTATAATGTAAAGATGCTGCTCTTTCGGTAAATGTAAATTTACGGTATAACTATTGTATAATATATCGTATATCTTACAATAAGCAGTCATTTTATAAAACAAAAAAAAAATAATGTTTTCATTCTTATAAGCCGAAAATATTGAGAATTAATTTTTATATTTTTGAAAAAGGGAAAAATTTATGATAAAATCAAAATTGAAAATTTCACATTTTTGTAGTAGAATTTTTCTTTTTTTTTTTTTGTATTTACTTTTTCTCTTTTAATGTCTGTATTAATAAGTATAAAAAAAATAAATGAAAATTCTATGAAAATCAATAATTTTCAATAAAGTACAAGAATTAAATTATAAAGAAGTAGATGTTTATGTAGGTTTTAAAACAAAATGAGAATAGCTAAAGTTGATCGTGTTAACTCTTAAGCTCCAATTTCAGGTTTCTTATTTTCAAATATTAAATATCTTGATATTAAAATAGTACACCTTAAATGTAGGCAAGTTCAAGTATTGTTTGTACTATACAATTACAATTAAATCTTCTGGAATCTTTTGGAATTAAAATTTTTCATAAATAGTGACATATTAAAAATTCAGTTCAGTAATGAATCTTTAACAATAAGTCTTTAAGTACGATTAGTAGGTTTTAGAAAATTTATGGAACTAACATTACGACATTTTATACAAGTACTATATCGATTAATTTTTGAATAGCAGCCCTAAAATATTAATAATTATTCGACTTTTTTAATGACATCTTCGGGAATTTGTATCTGGATCGAATCTTTAATATAACTAGGATTTATATTATTTGCTATAAGAACTGGGGATCTTATAAAATTTTTATCACAATATGTTGAGCTCAAATAAATTATTTTTTGAATAATGATCGGACATTGAAAATAACGTACAGATGATTCGATAGACGAAATGTCGCAACAAAATCTGCTAAGAATTTAACGTTAATTTCCTCAACTGTTTTACAAGATTTTTCACAACGGTACAAGTGAAATGTTAAATTTATAACACCTAACCAGTATAGTTTATATCGGTATACAAATGTATTGTATTCTTATGAATTTTTTTCTTTAAAAAAAAAAAATATTGAGTATGTACTTTAAAGAATAAACAAAAAATTATGACCCTTTTAATAACATTAATCCGTTTTTATTATGACGAGAGCAGTTGTTTAATAATAATTTGATTGCATAATTTATTTAATTATAAAATATTGGATAAATTAAATGTTACTTATTTTTTTGAATCCCGTAGGAATTTTATTTTAAATTAAATTTTCTTAAAAGTTAGGCGAAAGTAAATAATTTTTTACATTTCATTAAAATATTCTATTATTTTCATAAAGAGCTCATTCTTCTAAGAATCTAAGACATTTGAACATGACTGATCGTTGGACGACAGATAATTTCGATATGACAAAACTTTTATTTCAATATCTTTTAAATGCATTCATTTAACTAAATTATTTTATAAAAGAAATGTGAGAGCCGTTTTGAGCTTTTTTAAGCCAAGCGAAGATTACTCTGATATAAATTTTAGATAACTCTCAAGATTTAAATTATTGCATGGATTGAAATATTGAAGTAGAAGATAAATTTAAGAAATATTTCCAATAAGTTATCTAACACTATATCGCTAAAAGTCAAAAAAATTTTTTGGGTACTCATTAACTTTCATCTCCGCTTATCTCCGCTTTATGAAATTATGTTGGAATTGACTGTATTTGACACTATTTTTGAATACAGAAATTGTTGTGTACTCTGTGGCTTCCCTCACATTATTTTTGAAGAATCGGCAAAATTTTTGCGGGTAGCAAACCAAATATTACCACTTAAAATAAATATTAAAATTCCACACATTACAAAGGAATCGTACATATATGCCAACAATTTATACTGCATTTCTTTTTATAAATATTTTTAAATATACAATAAAAATTAGATAAAAAATAAATATAGGTTAGGAGAATTATTTAAGTATTGGCGTTAGAACAATGATAACATTAAGAAAGAAAAAAAATTTTCATTGTTGACACTATTTATTTAGAAAAAGAAAAAGAAATTTTTATTTTATCACTTCTATAATAAATTTATTATTGTTTAAATCACGCTTACTGGAAAATAAAATTAATGTTATTTTCTACATTGTTTACTGTGCTAACTTATCAAGATTCAGAAATTTCCTTCACAAAATAGTTGCATATATATAGCTCGTTGTTTCACTTGAGTGTACGTACTTTACATTGATTATTTTTTGTGGAAAAATGCAGAAAATTTATGATAAAATTTCTTTTACAATTTTTAATACTTTAATGTATTGCACATAATATGCCAAGTTTTGATTGTATATATAGAAGTGTTTTTATATAGTAAATAACATTTTATAATAGCTGAAAAATAAATTTTATTTTAGTTTCTTTAAAAAAGGATGTTTTATTTTTCATAAGGATTCTAAAGAAAAGGAAGATTTGCAGCGAAAATAATGTATTCGAGTTTAACTAATGAATTTTTTGTGAAAAAAAATGGCTTACTGAGAAGAAAATTTAGACTATCCTATTATGTATCTAGTTATTTTTCATAAAAATTAGAAAAAATTTCAATTTCTTAGTGAATTTTGAACAAATTATGGGTACATTTATTATTGATGATTTTAGAGCTCACGAACTGAAATTAGTTGTTTTATTTCTAAAGAGGCTTTTGTAAAATTTTTATAAAATTTTTAAATTGAACACAATTTCGAAATTTTGTAGTACACCAGCATTAACTTTACCATTGAGATACATTTCAAAAAAATTACTCGTCAAGTACTATAAAGCTAAAAACCATTTTCTTTTCTATGTTTTACGAAACCATCCTTTAAAATACAATGAAGTCTTACTTAAGTTACCGTATAGTACCTTTCTATTGCATATTGTCAAGGGTTGAAAAATTATTAAATTGAAATGACTAATTTAAAGTTGGTAAACAAATAGTTGAATGAAAGAGGATTAAAATGACTATTGTATGTCCTGTATGCATAAATTATGCTTATCAAAATATATCTGAGATTATGAAAAGCTTAAATTCTCCTTTTTGTTTTAAATATACCAATATCTACATTTCATACAGTAAGATTATATATAAATTATGTTAATGAATTACTTATTAAAAAGATTTTTATAAAATTAGTGACCTACTAAGTCATCGTATCAACTATTTAGTCTATTTTTTTTTTGTTTTTTACAAACATTTACCTAATTATCGCGTCGTAAAGTCATTAGAATTAACTGACTTTTAATGATGATTATTTTTAGTATAACTTCATGCAAATATCATGGTGTGTATATGTGCCTTATGCACCACACTTGCATAAAATTGTTGACAGAAAATAAAAAATAAACAATATGCTCCATATTTTTTTGTTTTAATTTCTCTGTGTCTATTTACTCTACATAATTTATTTATGTATATGTGTTAGTTCATATACAGAACAAGCACAACTACTATTTCTAATTTATTTCTTTACTATGATTTTTTTTTCTATTAAAATTATAAAATAACTAATTTTTTTTTACTTTTCTGTTTATTTTTCTTCAAAAAAAAAAAATAATTAGGTGAACGACCTGAAGCGATGCAAACAAGTGGTGCATCACGTATAACAACATTCATTGGTTATAATCCATCATTTATAAAATTGACAACACCTATATCAACAACAACCATCTCAACAATATTATCGACAATGACATATTCATCAACAACATTAATACAAATTTTCATTGCAGTCATTTTATTAAAAATCCTTGGAAATTGTTTACAATTTATAAATAATTTCGACATAATTAATGTTTTATATACGTGCAAAGAATCCAAAATAGATAACAATAATGATAATATCAATAATAATAATAATCATTATATAATAAACGAAAATAATAATAATGTAAATGAAAATAAATTGGGATATGAACATCATAAAATCGTTGATATTAATAAAAATTTTAAAACTAAAATAAAAAATACATCTTATCGTAAAAATCATTATTATCTTCAACAACAATATAAATGTCCAGGATTAAAGAAAGAACAACAACAACCTTTCCAAAACAACAGCTATTGTCGATGTTCGAATAATAATTATTATCACCATTTTAATTGTCAACATAATTATTATAATAATCAATATCATTCATTTAATAGTCATATAAGAGAAAAAATACTTGCATTGCAATTGTATAATGAAAATAATTATAATATCTGTTATTATTGTTCATCTAATTACTATTATTACAATTATAATTACATTTCTAATAGTAAAAATTCTAATGAATCTAATATCATGACTATTCATTATAATTGTCAAAGAAAACAAGAAAAAAATCGAATAAAAAATAATAATAAATTATTTAATTATAAAAATGGTGAGAATTTGAATGATTTTAAAAATATTTCAAAAACTTCAACTACAATTACTATTACTACGGCTAATACTATTGCTACAACTACGAGTACCATCACCACAACTAACTTCAACCAATTAAAAATGATGAATTATCTCTTAAAATCATCATCATTATTAACATTACCAGTGGTATTATCATTATCATCATCATCTTCATTATTAGCAACAATATCATCTTATCGTCATATATTAAATATTAAAAACTATGATAATAATAGTGCTGTCGATGATAATGACGATGATGATGATGATGATGTTAATACTGATGATGAAGAAGGTGATGTGAAGAATGGCGATGTAGAAAATTGCCATTATTGCTGCTGTTGCATTTGTTTTTACTATTTTCACTGTTCACTAAAAAATGAAAATAAAAATTCAGGTGAATATAGAAAGCAAATGTCACAGCAATATTTAGAGCGGTGATAAATTTTCTGCATTCTGAATTTTATTTTTTTTTTTTTTAGATTTTATTGCTTTAAAAAAATTATTTTTTTTTTCGTTATTTTTATTTATTTGAATATTATATAAGATTTTAGGAATAGGGAGTTTTAAAAAGCGTAGTATATATAATATAAAATAAAAAAAAAGAGGACACAAGAAAAATATAAAATTGTATAAAAAAAAAACAAAAAAAAAAACAAAAAAAAAAAACAAAAAAAAAAGAATTATAAAATGTTCTTACAATTTCATATAATTATGTGTGTATGTAGTCATGCATGTAGATATGTAAAATAAATAAAATACTTGTACCTATATGTAAATATAAAAAATAGAAAATTAAAAATTCGAAATGGAAATTAAAACACCTCTTAATTTTGACTTCCTGTTTTATAAATACATACATACATATATACATAAAATATTTAACCCATTTGTTTATTTCTACTTGAACTGTATAATTTGTTTTTAATATTCTTTTAATGAGTTTAACACTAAAACTTCATTAAGAATTAGATTGAGAAAAATGCAAGGTTATTAATGTTACATATATTTCGGCCTCTGCGTTCATTATCAAATTATACAGGTAGTACTAATTTAAATTTATTTATGCAAAACTTTATACTTTTTAATAACATATGGTTTAAAATTTTAGTAATGCATAAACACCAGTGGAATAGCACTGATTTTTTTTGATTTTTCATAATCAGTTCTAAAGTTATACACAAAAGTAAAGATACACAATTAAATCTAAGAATCAATACAAAAGTATTATGGTTTTATTTAAAAAAAAATTATTGTTCAATATACAGAAGTACATACATTAATATGAATTTGTGCGAGTAAAGAATATATGTAAAACATGCGTTAAAAAAATGTTCGTTTTTACTTAAATTTTAGACGTTATAATTAATCTTTGTTAGAAAAACTGGTTACATTTAATGCACACAAAATCAATGTTAGAAATCAAAATGTCAAAAAATTTTGATTATTTTTTAATATTTTTAAAATAAATCAATAATTAATAAATTACGTTTAACCTACATTATTTTCAAAACACAACTTTTTAAATGCACATTTTAATTTAGCTGACGGCGTATTTCAGAATTTTAAATAAGGAATTGAAAATTAGTTGTGTTTTGTTATTGAATGAAAAATTTTATAATTAACTTATAATAATTTATTTGATGTTTCACTTGTGATACAATCAAATTTATGACCTTTCCGATAATCAACTTTAAGTTTAATTTACAAAAAAGGATCCATTAATATATAATAATGAAGTTCAAATAATATGAAAACTAAGTATTTGGACAAAGTTTTCTAAATTTAGAAATACGAATTTCAATCTTTCTAAGATTTATATGACACTCTTTCTGCAAAAGTCTATTATATACACTCTTTCTCTTTCTATAATGTTTCCTGTTTCATATATTTTTTTTTTGTTTATCATGAATTCTTAAAAAAAAAACTGGTTATTGACAAGTGCGAGACCCAAAGCAAAAGAGACTGCGACAAATCGTGTCCTATCAACAATTTTTGCTGTCAGAGTAGTCCTCGGTCGCACAAGTTTTTTTTTTGTCACAGTAATTTGAAGATTAGAAATTATGTCTAATATATTGTCGGTTAAAAGGCAGATAGCACTAAGTGCATTTTTTGAGAATTCGAATATTCGAATTATATTCTTTGTTATATAAAAAATCATGAATATAATTATATAAAAATATATTCTTTGTTGTGGCAATCCAGAATATACTTTAGAAATTAAAGAAACCGATCCCATTGCACTAATTGATTAGTTTTACAATTTTACGATTTTTTCAAATTGAATTTACTCAAAACACGGTTTCCTGACTTAATGCTTTCTGCTTCTTAACTGACGATATAGAAGACTGGCTCTTGTTCGGAGTATTTTCTGAAAATTGATCCCTTCCAGCATTATATGAAAAAAAGTTCGGGGAGTGTTTAGAGAAACAGTATACCAAATGCTAATACGATATATTATTAAACAAATTTTATAAATATCTGCAACTTTTATTCGAACACCTTATAAAATATCGCTGTATATGGGGTTTGAAGTCTCAGAAAAGTCTTAAAAATAATAAGACTCAATGTAAGTCAATATCGTATGTCGTTTGGGTGCAATTTTGATTCATACGACATATTTTTTGAAACGAGAAAATCCTGTTTAAAATCTAGCAACGTTTTTTTTTTTTTAAACTGTTTAATGAGATTTATTTTACTTTTTCGCAGAAATTTTATGATAGTTTTTAAATTTCGAATGCAAAGCCTCGGTTCATTTCAACGCAAGGTTTAAAATTATGACTATATTATTGACTATATAATTATGGTTAAATGCAAATATTATTTATTGTAATAAAAAAATATATCTTTATTACACAATTGTAATTTTACTCAAACTCATATAATTTTGTTTTTATTGTGTATCTAGGTCTTAATCCCAATTCAATCCATCAATAATAATTTTTCTCACAACTAATACTCAGCTAATTTCTCGAAGGCTAATACTTAAATTGTGTTTGGAATGCTTGAGTGTCATATTTAAAGAATTCAACAATAACAGTGGTATAATGAGTATCAGGATTTGTATATTATTTTTTCATTCTTATTTTACCTTAGTTTGAAGTTATATTTCGGCTTCTCAAGTATGATTCATAAAGTCGAATTAAAATTATTTAACTTTTAAAAATTCTTGTTTATTTTACAACTATTGCACTTATAGCAATGGTATAACCTATAGTAGTGTGCAAATAAAATATGTATGTATAGTAACACAATCAAACATTTTAATTTAATTACAAAATTTTATACGAAATTTTTTAGTTTTACATTATTGAATATAATTTACATAATGTTTAAATTAAATAATGTAAATATTAAAATATATAGAAGAGATAAAAAATTTATTTTTAAAAATAGTTTTCATATTTTATTATAGAGTTTAGTAAAATACTAAAACAAAATTTTGATACATGCTAATTATAATAAAATTACAGAAAAAAAATAAAAGAATGAATTCATTATGATATTGTGTAAACTATTTATAAAAAAACAAATATTAAAATAAATTTAAAATTCAAATATAAAGAAAAATACCAAAATTTTAATTATTTATATATTATAAAAAAAAAATATTAAAATAAAACAAAAAATATAATTAAAAATTCTAAGCGAAATCAAAAATAAATTTTTAATTTTACATTGAAAAAAAAAACATTATTTTCAAAAACTTAAAAAAAAAATGTTAAATTTCAAAAAAAAAAGTGATTGCATAAATTTAGAGAGGAAAACTTAAATTAGAAATAAATTTGTATAATGAATGTTAAAAGAAAATAATTAATATTTAGATAAATTTATTCCATAGTTAAACTATACATTATAATAATCGTTAATAAATTAAAATGGAGAAAATATACAACAACAAGAAGAAAACAAAAATATTAGTCAAAATTATGGAAAAATTCTATTATTAAGTTACTTTTAAAATATTAAATATAAAATTATAAATATTTAAAAGATAAAAAAAACACAAAAAATAAAAAAAATAGAAGTTATTAATAATAATTTTTAGAACTTAAGTGAAAATATACCTAAAAATAAAAAAAAAAAATAATTAAAAAATCAAAAAGTTCATAATAACGGGTGCAAAAGGATTGAATATTAAAGAATTTTTTTTTATTCATACAGTAATGTTTGTTTAAAAATAAATAGTAATAGAAGTAGTAAGAGGGACAGACCCCTATTGAGCCACTCACGCGAAGGCCATTAAGAACGCCCGTCGGCAACCCTCAAATCAGCACTCAATAATCTCCGTGTAATGCAATAACACAGAACTAATCAACCTCCTTGGCCAATATCGAGAGCTGCACCAAAAACTTTCTGACAAAGCCGACATGCCGTCATAAAATTACTTACAGGACGTGTTTCCTCCTCCAGATCGAAGACATACAGTCAAAAAGTAAAACTAATTGTTCCACGTCCTCCATTATCAGGATGTTGCGCTTGATATCCCTGACATATGTTGTAGTGACTCCTCTTGCCCATTTTCCCCAAGAGATAGAGTCCTGTCAGCGCTTCCATCACTAAATTAAAATCAATTTTGCCGTATCTCAACAACCCCTTCGTTCTTTTCTCATTTCTTAACCCAGCACCTGCGACCACCTCGTCAATCCTTTTAGTTTCCTTATCTATGATGTTTAAAAATGAATAAATAAAATATATGCTGTTGAAATTGATTTCATCCTTGGAAAAGTTTAAAAACTGATCACAAATGATTGTTTAAACTTGCGATATTCTAAACTTATAGCTAACATTAGGGTATGTATATTCTTTTCACAGCCATATTTTATTTACCAAAATGGATATTAAGTTTTCATAGATTACAAAAAGAGTTAATTTGCATAATTCAAGACATAATTTTTTTTTTGAGGAAATTTTACAAAAAACTACATTTTATTCAAGATTGAGAAAACTATGGAGCAATTTGTTAATCGCTTTTAATTACGGCTAATAGAATTTTATAAACAGAAATTGAAGTTTTGTTTTTTATATAAATTTCATATAGATGTCTCTGTCATAGTTGGTAAATTTTTTTACAGTTAAAAAAAGATTTAACGATGACTTCATTAATTTTTCATCTTAATTTGTCGTAGAAGTATTTTTTTTATTCTTTCTTAATATAACCTCGTTTAAAGTTGTAGGACAACATAAAATTTATTTATTTTAAAAAATCCTTTTGAAATTTTCTTTCTATTGCCTTTCTTTACCTCAATTGAAAACGAAGTTTTTAAATATTAAGAAATTTTGATTCATCAATTTTATTGTTTAGTGTTATTTGATGTTTTGAACAAATCGTTAATTCGAAAAGTAACGATATAGTATAGTTGTTAAAGATGAATATATTGCTTAATTATGTAATCGGTTTGATCAAATGGTATAATGGAAACAGCAGAGTTAGTATGATTTTATCAGTTATTTATTGCTGTCATTCAACAATATGTAATTTTAATGTTCTTTTGTACTATCTCAATTACTCACAATGTCAATATTTATTGTAGGCAATATTAGCAATGATTAGCATTTTAATTGGTTCCCAAAATTGG